CCTAAAAAAACACAGCACTACACACCTTGATTTGGGTTTTCATCGTGCAAAATAAGAACTTTTGGATGTTCGTAGAGGGGTTTGTATCTGAGTTTCAGCAAGTTTTTCAGTGAGTGGTGGGTTTTCATCGTGCAAAATAAGAACTTTTGGATGTTCGTAGAGAGGTTGTATCTGAGTTTCAGCAAGTTTTTCAGTGAGTGGTGGAGAGCAACTCACAGCTGGGTGGGGCACAGGATCAAAATCTGGGAGCTGACCCGCAAACTTCTCAGGAACATTTGAAAGTTGAAGGGGCGGGTGCTGAAGTTTATCACTGCAGCTAGCTGTACCAGCTTCAACACGACTTCCTGGTAGACAAAAAACCATATGGTTACATTCCAAAAATAAAGCTTGCCAATTCACTCTTAACAGATGGTCTAAATTTTTATGAAAAGAAAACTTGTGTAGGGTAAACTATACAGTTATCGGCAGGGGTACAGTTATCGTCATCTCGGCGAATAATTGGGTCCTGCTCTGCAAGTACGCGTCCGTTAGTGATGCGGCCAATGCAGGTAGCTAGAGACACCTTTTGAGCATGCAGGACCGAGACAGCATCGCGTTTGACTGAGCATGTCAGCCAACAAAACCATGTTTCTTGTCAAGCGCAAAATGAAACTGCTTCGGCCGCCCGTTCTTATCTTCCCTGCTAGGAACAGGGGTTCAATCTTTCGTTAAATTCGTGAATGTGGGGCCCGGAAAAAACTATTCTCCTTGCCAGGTTCCTTCTCCCCATCTATTGAACAGAGCATTCTGTGCTCGGTGCACAGAAATTCCTCTTGCTTGCCCTCATTCGGGGGGTGCCGATAACTGCACCAGAGAAATCACCCCAAACACAGTTATCGTCAGGGTGGCCTCAAACTTCACTGGTGTTTCGGGCGTCGTCCGGGAGTTAATATTCTGATGCATTATGACCGTAGGAAGACCCCTGCCAAATTTGAATGAAATCGGACCACTTTTTCCCCGTGATCTACGTGATTTACGAAAAGTCCCCCTCGGCGCTTTGAGAGATTGTTTTTTTCGCAGCTCATGGTGCTAGTTGTCCGTGAGTCTAAAAAGAAGGGCGCAAGAGGCATAACAGAAGAGAGAGGGGTTCGTGACTTGTCAAGGGGTGATATAGAGTGTCTGTGACGACTGTTAGAAATTTTTGTCACTTTCGGTCATGTTTTGCCTTTTTTAAAAAGGGGTGCCGATAAATGTCATAAAGGGTGCCGATAACGTATTTTTGGGTGCCGATTACTGTGTTTTTTGGGAACCATTTTCTCAGGTTAAATAAGAGCGTCACAAAAAGTTTTAAGTGAAATCTTTGTCAGCCACTTTTTTTCTAGATCCTTCTGAAATGTCTGGAACAAGTCGCACGGGTCTAAGTGTCATAACCTACCATAGAAGCCCTTGAAAAGAACGCGATGCTCTTAAACTGACGGTAACTGTATAGTTTACCCTACCTTACAGAGGAAGATGCTTCATACCTAGGTGTGAACGTTTTCTTGAACTTGGTTTTGGTGCGACTTTAAAGATTGGGAAAATATCACTGCGGTTTAGGTTTGGAAATAGATCAATCTCCAAAAATGACTTTTCGTTCTGATTTTGGTCTCAAAATCGATGATTGTCTCTTTCTTAAGTGTTTATATGAGGAATTCGTAAGGGTTCAGATGTAAAGGTACACTGTTAAAAATAATCGTCAATTTACGACATTTTGTAGAACAATTATGTCGTTTTTAAACGACATATTTTGTTACGACTCAAGTCGTAAATATACGACTCGAGTCGTAAATTTACGACATATCTGTCGCTAATTTTGATAGCGAGACGTTCCGTTTTGAAACGAATTAAGTCCTAAACTTACGACTTAATCGTATGTTTACGAACGATCGTAATTGATTTATGGAATATGTCGTGCAGTTATGACTTCAGTCGTATATTTACGACTCTTGTCGTAAATTTGTGACATGAATCGTAAATAAACGACACAAATCGTAAAAAAAGAGCAAAATTGTAACTTTCGACCAACTTTTCGGGGATTTCAGATTCCTAAATATTTAATCGCGATTACGACAGTGTCGTAGAAAAACGATTTTTTGGTCGTTCAGTTACGACGAAGTGGTTTGAGAACGATTTCCGTCGCTATCAAAATTAGCGACATTTTCGTCGCTAATTTACGACAAAATTTCTGACAGTGTATGGTAGGGGTGGGCATTCATACATAATTTAAGTCGTGTTTTTGCACCCATATGTAGTTCGATTTCAGGAATAGTGGGTGGAACAAGTAGAGCCATTCAGAACGCTTTTTTTTTTTTTTTTTTTAAATATTAGACCGATTAGCTCTTATAGGCAACTCCGGAACTCCGGCCATACTTTTTACGCGAAAGTGAATCTTAAAACTTCCTCTACAAAACTCCATAAGATCACATACATGCATATGAAGGGCAAGTAGTAGTGTCGTATGTTCGGTTAGGAAGAAACAGGGGGTCAGGGGAAAAATTTGCATTTCAACTGTAGTAAACCCGGGGAGCTATGCAGCCATTCGCCAAGTCCAACTCTCATGTTACATGAAAGAAAATTAATCACAAAAGAGCCGTCGACACTAAGGTACACTCTACCAAAAATGTCCTGTAAATGCCGTTAATTTATTACCAGTTTTCACTGTAGGTCGATTTACAGCGTTTACTGTGATCTGCTCACGGGATTCACTGTGATCTTGTTCGCGGTGTTCACTGTGATCTGGTTCCCAGTAAACACTGTGAGTTTGACGCCGCTAAGCACCGAAGTACTGCAAATCAGGCTCCAAATTTACGGCGTTTTCTGTGGCCAGATCACAGTGAACACTGTAACCGAGATCACAGTGAACGCCGTGAACTAGTTCACAGCAAACGCCGTGAATTGCATAACAGCAAACATTGGTAATAAATTAACGGCGTTGACAGGACATTTTTTGTAGAGTGTAGGATATGCACATAGAACTAAGGATTAAAGATGTTAGCTTTGCCCCACTTATATAAAATTCAAAGATCACGAAGCAACCGGGCAATTGAGGATTATCGTTGTTATTGGATTATCTTCATCTTTCAGAAGAGCTCTTCAGCTTCCACCACTCAAACCCTGCGAAAATAAAAATGTTCAGAACATACCCAGTCTCCGTGGTGTGACGTTTGTATGTCCAAAAAGCCCGAAAAGTAACATTTTTTTTTTTGAGCCCATAGAACCATATTATTTGACCCGGTGATTAAAACTTTGACAAAGTATGCTCGTAAAATAATCAAATCGACAAACAATCACCTCATGTAACGGCCATGTACAGTTTCGGCTTGCCAGTCAAAGTTATACGCCTAAGCGAATTTAAGTAAAAAGGTTAAATTCAAAAGCCACTCTTTCTCCAGAAGTTTGCCCCTGATTCGGCCACCGGGATCAGATGGATTGAAGTTTGGCCGATGCGATGCGCGCAACGGGACAAGCCACCAAGCTGGCCGTTAGATGGGAGTATCATCGCCCTGCTTCCGGGCAGAGATGTCCGTAATTACACCAATGTCCGAAATCACCCCGTTTCCGGAAGCAAGTTTTTTTTTTAATTTTAATGGAAATTAGTTTTTTCCTTTCGAAAAACCCCCAACTAGATATTTTGGCGGTGATTTGGGGGCTCCTGTAATTATAACCACTTTTTCACATTTCGTCCCACTCTGCGGAACCCCTCAGCATGAAAGTTGGAACCGAATGCTGCTTTGATGAGCGTTCAGGTCTCTTTGTGGGGCTATGTGCGGCGAGAGAGTCAGGAGCGTGGATTGTCGGAACGGGCGCGGCCTCGCAAAGCCTGCACTGTAAAAAAATTTCTTGTAAAATAACGAAAAGGTTTGGGTAACTTTGTTTTACGAACTGTTCGTAAATTTACAAAAATGTCGTTTATGAGCAGTTGCCAAAATAAGGGTATCTTTCGTGTCTTTCGGTCATTTTGTAACGCACCAGCATGTCCCCCGTCCATAAATTCGAAGTTTCGATGCTTATATTTCAGCTAATATGGAACGTAGAACGATTCTGAGAAGATATTCGGAAACTTTATTATTTTATCTATCAGACACATGTTACTGAACTCGTTTTTACGAGCTCGATTTGGGTGCAATCTGTAAACGCAAAATATCCTCCGTGGTTGACTTTGCGGAAAGTTACATGTGAATTATCACCGTTACATGTGAATTATCACGGTTTCTCGCGTTGCACTCTACTGGTAGTTCTCGGCCTTGTCGTCAGATTAATCTTTAGCATTTTTGCCGTCGAATAGTGCAAACGGGAACTCTGAGAAGTTAATAGAAAGCTCAGAATCTTGTTTTATAGGTTATGTTTCGGTTGTGTCCGACCATGATTTTAAAATGCTTTCTGTTCCCCGGGCAAGTTCTGGACGAAACAGAGATATGATTCTTTCGGAACGTGTTGAGGAATCTTAAAACAGGTGCTCAGACCAAATGGCGTGTTTTAATTCATAGCAAGAGAGTTACTAGGCATGTTTGAATGAAAATGTAACGTTCCGTACCCCGCTTTTTTCTGTAACGTTCCGTGTCTTTCCCCTATACTTTTGATAGGGGCTTTTTGGTCTTTCAGCAATATTGCACCGGGAGCTCGATTGCGTTCAGATATAAGTCGTGGGACATCACTGAATGAATTGGCCGAGAAAAAAGCTGACTTTTCCACATTTTTTTCTTGCGGTTAATGTCCTTCAAAAGTGCCCCGAATTTTGGCAACTGTTCTTAAATACGTCACATGTCGTACATTTTCGAAATGTTTTCGGCCAATTATCAAGATTTTCAACCTCAAAAATCGTGCTGTGAGAAATCTTCCACACAAATTTTTTTCCCCCGTAACAACGAATTTTTTGGTTCAAAACGTTAACGAAATGTTTTCATATATAAATGACAACTTCGCAAAAGAAAATTACCCAAACTTTTGTGTTGTTTTTGGACAATATTTCGTAAAGCCTCTCTAAACAAAACATTTCGTAGTTATATTGTCCGTAAATTCACCAAATTAGGAAGATTTCTCTCTCTTTACAAAGTGATTTTGTAGGATTACGATGCATTTTGTAATGATTTTGTAGGATTGCGATCGTTTTGTAAACTGACAAAACAATAACGTTTTTTTTTAAATGAAACATCGTGTACTGACATTTCGTAAATTCACAATATTTTCTTAGAGCGTGTTACGCCAAGCCAATGTCTTGCATACACCTCCCTTGCATTACAATTGATATTTTATAAATTCATTGCCTTGCGGGTCAACAAAAGCGAGCGTGATACATGCTTTCAAAGGTCAGAACAGGTTAGAGCTTGGATACGAATAAAAACGCAACGATGTCTTCTCGGGGTGGGCGGGCTGGGCTACAGATCACTTTGGCTGTAACAACATTAGCCGAACGGCGGCTCTGAGAATGGCGGGTCTTGGAACGGTGGTTCTGGGAATGGCGATTCTCGGTACTCGGGCAGGCCGTGGCGCGCCCGGACGAGGTCAGCACACTGTTCGGCGATCATGCAGGTGGGGGCGTTGGTGTTGCCGCTCGTAACGAACGGCATGACGGAGGCGTCGCAAACGCTCAGTCCGTCGACGCCGATGACGCGGAGAGACGAGTCGACTACCGCCAGCGGATTCGTTATCTTGCCCATACTGCACGTCCCGGAAAAGTGCCACAGCGTATAGCTGGTCGCGTTGATGGCACACTCCCAGTACTCTCGCGTCGCGAACTCGAAGTCCCTAAAATGAAAACACGTCGTTAACAGAGTCCAACTTGCAAAAAACACTAGAAGTCATGATATTAATGTCATTGTTCTCGTGTATCAAAAAAACGGTGTCTTGAACGGTGCTAAAGTTCATTTAAAGGTTGGTTTGGTGTCCGAGTGCCCAGTGTCCGAGAAGACGTCTCAGTGAAGAAACACGGTGCCGGACGACTGCAGCCCCTGCAGTAGGGGTGTTCACCCCCTTGCACCCCTGCACGCCCCTGGAGGGGTTGGAAGCCCTCCGACGAGCGAGCTGGTCGAACAAGACATAGGGGAAGCGATCCCGAAGTTTTCAAGACGATCCCACCAACCGTTCGTCTTCCAGAGCGAAAAAAGCGTCATTTCCAGTAAAAACCACCCCTCACTTCACCCCCTTCCAGCGACTGACTGAGTAGGGGTAGCAGTCCCAAGCAACGTCACATCACTCAGCCCAGACCTCATTTCAAAGGCCTCCAAGTGTCAGACAGTGCTCAGTGAACTCTCCTTTACGATATCCCAATTTATCATTAACGTTGTTTAAATAGCGTCTAGTCTTATCACCTGCATGGGGGTATGGGCGTGCGGTCAAGGATAAGGCCTCTCTTGGCCAGCTCGTCCGCCATGGCGACGCCCATCTCCAGGCCCCGGATGGCTACCTTCACGTCGTTCTGGGAGGTGAAGTACCCCAGCGTCACCACGGGCCGTCCGAAGGGGTCGGACGGGTCGAGAGTCACCTCACCACGACTTTCAGGGTGAAGAACGGCCGGCAGCCACTTGACGATGTTGTGCCTCCACACGTCGTTGTCCATGCACCTTGGAGGCAACGAAGGCACTCTTGTTGAATGCATGTGACGTCACGTGGACTTGAAGTTCATGTCACGTTTGTTTGGACGTCGATCCACTTCGTGGAAGTCATCGAATCCATGCATCAAGCTCCTAACAACAGCTATGAGCTACAGTCAAGAACAACGTATTTCGTATCCCCAGCGCATACAGATTGGTTGTTGTTGATGGTAGCGCATAGTGATAACTGTTGTTTAAGATTCTATATATAAAGATAGGAGCTTGATTAAGGAAGCGTCGAAGTGAACGTGACACCTAAATTAAAGGATCAGTCACGTTCAGACGAATGTGACATCCATTTCAAACGCTTAGAGTTCACGGGGTTGGACTGCAAAGCGAATGCTAACGTAGCAGACCACCCATGTTTTAAAAAAACTGAATTTTAACATGGCAGTCATGCCACTTGCGTGTCAAATTTTATCATTATTAGGGATGTGCCAATCAAGGGTTTCCATTTCGAATCAAATCGAATCTAAAAAAGAAAGTTTCGAATCGAATGTGGAAAAAGTTGTCGAATCAAATTGAATAAAACTTTCAAAGATTAAGGGGGCACACCAGTGAAAATCGGCAAATTTTCGCCTTCTCTTTTATTTTATCTTATTTTTCAGCTATTCATCCTGAGTCGAATACCTCAAACCCCACCCCGAAATTCCGATTACTTTGGCTTGTGCACATTTTTCAAGTTGCTGAAAAGGTTATTATTTTTGCATATTTTTGACCAATTGTTAACGTTCAGGGTTTTCACTTGAACTTCAATTACAAAACCCTTGAACCACCCAAACGCAGTTGAAAAGAGGAATATTTTGGCGCAAACTGAACTAAAATACGTCAAATGACGCATTTATAATCCGAAAAAACACGTCAAATCTATGTTTCCACTTAAAGGGCTTTTTCTCAAAATATCTATTTTGTACCTTTGTGCCACTCTCACGGGCGCAAAAATTGAGATAATTTAATGCGGTTTGCGGCAAAATGTTCGTTACACTTGCGTCTATGGTCTGAACCTCGGAAATGGCCATCCCATAAGTAGGACGTGAGCTGCAGCCATGGAAGTGCGAAAAAATTGGTTAAAAAATTTGTTTCTATATTCGCCTTTTGAAAAAACATATTCAAAATCATTCTTTTTGTATGCCCGTAGTTCAGACCATAGCCACATGTGTCCTGTTGAGAAAATTTCAAATCCCGTGTGCGAAGCTCAATCCAGAGAGGCGGAATCGTGGCAGGAGTGAAGCAAGGTCGTTGAAAAATGAAGTGCACTGGCGCTTCATCTTGCCATCGTCACCTCGCTCTCCCATACTGATTTTCCTTTTCTTTGACATAATTTTGAGCCAAGAATGAAATATCAATCGAATACATCGGTTACTTTTCTCAGAATGATCGTTTTTCGAAACCTCTGCATTTTCACTGGTGTGCCCCCTTAAAAATCGTATCGAATTTGAACAGAAACCGAAAAAAAATAAGTGCGTTTTAAAACACATTTTCCGTAATACAGGGGGGGGGGGGGAGAAGCGCAGGAATACAAAGAGAAGAAAAATCAAATATTTGATTTTGCTCTTGTACAAAAACAAAGCTATGCGCGCGACTTCAACCGTTCCCGAGCAACCGATTCGAAGATAAACCACTGTCGATTCGAATATTTTGAATATTCGGGGTCGAAGCAAAGAGATCCGTCCCCGAATCGAATTGCCCCTGATTCAATTGGATACCGAACTATTCGCACATCTCTTATCATTATTATTGTTGAGTTGCCGATTTAAAGTGGTTCAGCTATATAGCTACCAAAATACGAGCAATAGATAGCGGTACACTGTAAAAAATATGTTGTGAATTTACGACGACGGATTATTTTCCGAAGGTTTTTGGAGATGTCCAAAAGTGCACTGAAAATATTTCTTTCCTACAGGAGCTTTTGTAAATCAACGGAAGTCTGTCGTTCATATACGAAGGTTCTCAGTAAATTTACGAAGAAAAATCGTAAATGTACAAAGTCTGTTGTAAGTTTACGAAGGGCTTCGTAAATTTACGACGGGCTTCGTTAAGGGGGGACATCACTCCAAAATGATAAAAAATCGCAACTTTTTTTATAAGTTTATACTATAGACCATTCTTTTCTGCGTCGAATGGCGAAAACCGCATTCCGAAATTTAAAAAATTGCAGTTTTGGGAGGTTGTGGGCCGCAAACATATATAGGGGAAAAGCCCAGTTTCCCCAACTTTGATCGCGTTTTTCTCGGAACATGAAATTGCAAACGGTTGCAGGCCTCCAGGGCGCAGTTTTTAGCTACAGCGGTGAGATTTAGCAGGGAAGCTCCTTCGACATGCCGCTATGGTGGGTAGCAAAATAATTTGCATTAGTTAATTTTTATTATTTTTTAACGTTCAAAATTGAACTATTTTGACCCAAAAAATTGAACAATTATTTTTGGTATCTAACAAATAAAACTTTAAAGGAGTTTGTAATATGATAAAGGTACCCAAGCCAGACATCTCAGGAAGGCTGTCACTAAATTTCATTTATCTAGGTCAAACCGTTTGGCGTCCAGCGCTGCAACAGTGCGAAATGGTCTAACCTAACACTCAAAAATGCGTTTTCTACGAAAGTGCTGTACTGCCTTGGTAGATTGACTTCGTGTTGTTTTATACTTTATCTGTTAAATTATGAACAATTTTTCTCTTTCCGTTTGGTTTTTATGACGTTTTTACAAAAGCACTGTTTTTGTAGTGATGTCCCCCCCTTAATCGACGACGGCTCTTCGTAAATCTACGGCGGACCTTTGTAAATAAACGAAGGAACTGTTGGCAATTTTTGGCCGAAGGATCCGTCGTTTATTCCAGACGTATAAATACGAAGGTTCTCTGTATATTAACGTAGGTTCTTTGTTTAGTAACGAAGGTTCCCTGTAAATTTACGAAGGATCTTTGTAGATTTACGAAGATGCTTCGCAAATTTCCATTGTGACTGTAAAGATCGTTCAAAAAATAAACGAAGGTTTTAGTGAATATACGAAGAGCATCGTAAACTAACGAAGGAACCGTTGGCAATTTTTTTTCCCGAAGGATCCGTCGTTTATTCCCGACTTTAATTTTTTAAAGTGTATACACTAGCCATGGCTTCACTCGGGTAAATCCGTCAGAATGTCAGAAACTTGTCGCAACACCTTATAAAATTTGCGCACCTTTTAAAGCTGAAAATTTACTCCGGCATTCGGCAGAACTTATGCTTTCAAGATCAAGAAATTTTTTTCAGAATCTCAGCTTTTAGAGGTGCGCGAATTTTGATCAGGATTTTAGTCATGTTCCTGCCATTCGGACGATATTTAAATGAGTGAAGCTACATATATTTTGGCGTTTTGTTATTTGAAGACAGCAAAACGAGGGTTGCTACGCAGTGCACGAACTGGTGTATCTCACAAAAAGTTTCGTTATTGTTTCTTTTGAAGATTCGCTGTGAACGCAGCGCTTAGACTTCATTTTATGACCCACTGCATGTAACCTTACCGCTCGCCACCCTTGTTTTCCCGTGGCACCGAGCAGTATGATCTGCAGATCGGGGCACTTCTCGGGCAGGCCAGCCCCCTCGATGCCAGTATTGACAAAGGCCGTCAGTTGCAAAATGGCGGCCTCGGTCAGGGCGCCTAAATGTAACAGATCGTATTCATTCAGATCCCGCTTTCGAGTGTTCCAGTCCACGTCGCACAAGGGACACTTGAACTCCATGGCGGTGGGCCGCGGATGGTCTTGCAGGTTCTGACCGACACCTGGCCGATCCACCCAGCATCTCAAGTTGGCAGCCTGCGACACATGAGTAACGTCTGGTTCAACTCAAGGCTTGCAAAGTACGGCCTTAAGGGCAAAGGTGGCTTTCACACCCTAAAATGGCGCCATGATCACTCGTGTAAATTTTGTCAGAATGTCAGAAACATGTCTGAAATCCTGATCAGAATCTGCTTACCTCTGAAAGCTGAATTTCTGAAAACTTACTCTGATATTGACGGTTTAAGTTCTACAGACTGTCAGGAGATGTTTTAAGCTTCCAGAGATGCGTGAATTTTGATCAGGTTTTCAGACAGGTTTCTAACATTCTGACAAGATTCACACTAGTGAAGGCACGATCAAGAAACGCATCGATGACACTGACCTCTATATCAGAGCATGGACCGATGCCAGAACACATGAGAATCTGCGGAGAGTGCAGCGCACCAGCGGTGATGATTACTTCTTTAGCAGCATAGGCCGTCCGATCCTGTTACCAAAAGTCACTCTCAGCCAGCCTCCGAACACACAGTGGACTGGCGGAGAAAAATTTGACATTTAATTCGATTTTTACCGACTGGGGTTTTACTTTTGCTATCATATTGGTACCGATCGATTCGTCGTTAGACGCTCTATCGATCTGCTAAAGTATTTTAGTGTACAGGGTAGTGTATCTTGCCAAAATGACAAAAAGTGTTCAAAAACTTATTTTTAAGCCATCTGTTCCAATTTGAAAACAGAGTCTAGGTCAAAAATAGGTAAGCACAAGACATACTCTAGCAAGTGATCTCTCCGATTTCGTTGAAACTTTGCGAGCTCGCTGGCTATGGTCTGAAACCCCCAAAACCCCTTTTGAGTAAAAAATACCGATTTTTTAAAGAGTTATGGAAAGCGTTAAAAATTTTGATTTATGTTGCAGACCTTTTTCGAAAACGCCTCAATTTCATTAAAAATGAAGCTACATAGCTCATTTTCGGCGCATTCGAAAGTTATTGAATTGGACTTTAAGCGTTTTGCAACATTTTAACAAAAATGTTCAAATTTGACAAAGATTGAACAAAGTCAAAAATTTTTAACACAATTTTTTCAAAAGTAGTATTTTTGATTTTTTTTTTTTTTCGATATAAAATAGTCTATACTGTAGTCTAGCAACCCCTTTAAAATTTTGGGTTTAGAAAATTTTTAAAAAGGGAAGAAAAAAAGGTTTTTTGTGTTGAGATTCGGCAAATTTTCGCTAGTTGAAGTGGTGTGGAGAAGCACATGATGCCCGCAGGTTCTCGATCTTGAACTGCTAGTGTCACTTGGAACAGTTATTTGGTGGGTGAACCTATAATGTCGATCGATTTTAGTTTTCAATGTTCCCATGGGCGGATCAAGAGGGGTTACTTTTCAAAAATCAGGATTTTTGGATGTCGCAACGCGATTTTTATGTTTTCAGGGGTGGATATAACGAATCTTGAACGATGTTGAATGCAAGTTAGCCCCAAAAGCTGATCGAACGTACCGTCAAAACATTTTTAAAATTTTAAAACGACTTTGACGCTCTGGACATCTTCAATGAAATGCTGACCCGAGCTGCTACGGGAACGCAATGCATCTGACGCAATCTGTTTTGACTCGAATTCTCAGGTCTCTGCTTACTTTTTGTTCATTATCGGCGATATATGGGAATTTGGTTTGCGAACACGACATCAGTAGCCTTTAACTGTCCATCTTTCTTGTTTTGAGGTAAAAACTGACAGTAACTAAGGATTGATTCAAAAAATATGCAAAGTAAACTCTTAAAATTTTTACATTTTTGCTAATTTTATTTTTCGTAGTACTCGGTTAGGTCGGCTTACTTATGCTTGATCCAGACTCCGCTTTCAAGTGGAAAATTAGGCAAATTATGGATTTTTCGACAATTTCTGGTCACTTTTGCGAGATACAATTCACATAACGAATAAATGCTTTGACCGATCGAAAAAAGGGCTCAAGACCAGATCGGCTTTAATATGATTGCAATAGCGCAACCCGGTTGGTCGCAATGTAATTTTATGCCAGGTTTTGCTCCACCAGCCCCCATGCTCATCGATTCAGTGGTTTAGGACTTGTTCCAGATTACTAAAACTACACCGGTTTCCGCAACGCTTTGCACAGATGGAAACACTGTTAGAAATCCATCCGTTCTGAAACGGAAAATTTGACGCAAAGTTTTTTGATGACAGCTTACGTTAAAAGGATTGATGATCTTTCCCGTTCAAGAACAAACTTTTGCCATAATCAAACTAGAGAATACAAACTACAATAGGGCTCCCTAATACTTCTTGAAATGGAAAAATTCTGTACTTTAACTTCTAATGTCGTTCATAAACAATATGGAGATGGCTGCCAATAATCTCATGGGCACTGGTTAAACGGTCAGTTTACGTTCAGAAATGTCACCTGCCGTTTCAAAACGACAAGT